TGAAATAGTACTTAGTTGAAGAAACTTAATATTATCTGTGTCTTGGAAAACTCATGTTTTATTCCATGTGAGAAATACATGTCTCTTCCTGAATGAATAGCTATACCGTCTTTGTTTTACACTAAAATGTGTCACTACTTTAAGGACTTTTTTCCTTAATGTATATTTTTTAGAGAAACCCTTAACTGCAGAGAAACAATTAAGTGAAACAGATAATGTTCTTCACCACTAACACTATGTATTTATATGCAATGGTTGTATTTAAATACCTGTAATGGTAAGTCTGCCTGCTTCTGTGGAATAGGGAACTGCTTGAGACAACTGAAATGAGGGTCCTTGGAGGACTCCTAATGCAGAGGCAACTGAAGGCCAGGAGAAGGTTTGCCTTAACATTTCCCAACTACGACCAAATGTAAAATCACAGCAGACAGCCAGAGAACATCCAGGTTAAAACCCATCAGTGATCAGTAGATCTTGGAGCTGCTGGATTTGCTAGGCATGATACCTTCACAAACAGGGACAAGAAAGAAAAAGGGGGTGGGAGAAGGAGGAAGGAGTTAATAATCTTCGATCCTGTCTGTTATCTCTCCCTGTGAAATTTCAAAGTTCAGTAATAAGCCTTGTACTCGTGCAGCCAAGAAAGCAAACGTCATCAGCATGAATGTAAAGTGCTTTCATCACACCTCTCTTGATCATTCAAGAAGATAAGGAAAAAGAACAGAGAAAAGCCATCTAGAAAATACTTCATTTTGTCCACTGAAATAACAAACACATTTTACAGAGTTGTAGCCTGACATAAACTAGATTCATCAAGTAATTAACCACTATGAACCTCTCTTTTGGCTTACTCAGTTCCACACTGTTGGGTTATTGGTTTGATAGTTACTGACCTTTTTCTAAGGACATCCTCCTCTCTGTCTTAGGATGACTTCCTGCTAATAATGCTGGAGTATTTTTTCTGTATCAATTTTGACATGTAATTTTGCAGTGTTTTTCACGCTAAGGGCACTACCGTATAATTTCTCTTCCCCTGCTGTTTCCAGTATTGCCACTTAACAGCCTTGAGCCTTCTTTTCTGACACAACTGTAGGATGGTAGTGGAGTGCAAAAACCTTTCTGCAGATTTCCATGGGTAATGATTCTCCAGGCAGCTGCAGTGGTATGCAGCAAGCTTTACAGCTCCTTTTTATAGTTACTCATATCAGTATGCTTTGCCTCCTGGGGCCACAGTCACACTGAGAATAATCAAAATACTGGCACTTCCCAGACTACACATGAATTTGTAACATGTCCTACCAGCTAGTAACCTTCATAGACGTGAAGCTGTGAAGCCTCCAGGGAACAGAGGAAATTAACTTTTTCAAATATGCTTCTGTCCTTGCTGTGCAGTCTGTTCTAAAGTTCAGTGACTTCTGTCAGAACAATTCACGTGAACAGGTTTAATCAGGCCTCCAGACTACAATTACGTAAGCCTGATGCAATTTTCTGGGACAAAAATACAGATCAAGTTCAGCATTTCATTACATCTTCAGAGCCTCATACGTAGGCGGAGGTTGGCTAAATTTGGTAGGTAGTTGGTAGCAACAGGAACAAAAGGTGTCTGGATGTGATGGTGGCATTCCTTAACCTCATTAGCTGGATGAGCTGTCTAGTCCTTGAGCACATTGTGCGTAGGTTAGAATATAGACTTGCAGTGATTAAAATATATATATACCCCTAAGTTTACTTCTCACTGAATATTTCTATCCTGTCAGATCTGTTTAATCTAAACTGTTTTCCCCAAGTATGGAGTAGCAGATTTTTTTTCAGGTCATGGGAAAGTAACTCAAACTAAGCGGATGCAGAGTAGAGCTCCAACAAAGCAGGGTATGCCTGTGTTGCGCAGTTTACTAAGCAGAAACACAAAAATGAGTGGCTGTATGACAAGCCACACAAGCTAGGGAAGCCTGTGGGAATTTCATCATTTATTTGGGATACTACAGCACCCAGACATGAGCAAGAATTATCTTTTTTATCTCTTCTCCAATGTTGCTCTTTTCACATTTTCTAAGCAGGAGCTATTAACCATTTTGTGAGTGGTTAGGGGTATTTTGTTAAACTTACTGTCTGGATCTAGAAAAGCAGAGCTGCCAGCTTTGCTGGGAATGGTGTTTCTCACTGCTGTTTCTCAATGAATAGACTCACCTGTGCTGTCTTAAAAATAGTAAGCACACTATATCCACACACACCTTCCACATCCACACCCACCTTGTCCCCTCCTTGGTCCTATGGTACTCTGCTTCCCTCATAACAATTTATTTTCTTTGATCTCCCTGCAGTCAGTGAAGAGAACTTCAGGCAAGAAAATTGACACATTTGTGATATACAAAATGATAAAGATAATTCTTCCATTGGATGGATAAAGAATCCTTACAGCCCCCACAGACAAATACTTTCACGGGCAAATATTATCAAAGGTTTTCTCCTGATGCTTCTTCCCCAGTTCTGGCTTAAAAGTAACAAGAGCCTTGGGGTGGTGTGTGAGGATCTCGACCACATTTCAGCACTGCTAAAACATCAAGCATTCATAGCATGTATTTCACAGCCTGGGGAAGCGTAAGGCCACCCCCTACTAATTCCTGATTAGGATGAAAATTTTGCTGGTATTATTACTTAATAAATGGTCTGCAAACACAAGTAGGGAAGCCTTGCTCACTGAAACACAGGGTATAAGACAAGTGAAGCTGTGAAAATATCAGCCTGTGAAACACTTGTCTGCTGTCTTCATCTGCCTTTGCAGGGAACACATCTAAATGCCTACCCTTAAAGGGAAGTCGCTATTTTAAGGACTCACTTTGACAGCAGCAGGATGGGAATGTCTACCAAACATGTTTACCATAATGTAGAAACTTTGGGGATAAGATTCAGATGCAAAAGAGGGGTGGTGGGGGTTGTGGAAATTATATGTGGCAAATTTCTTTTGTTCCAGGTTGGTAGGTAGGAACGCTGCAAGCTTCACCGGTCTGAACGTCACCTAAGTCAATCCTCCTCCTGCCTTCTGCCACTGCCACCACCTCCCTCAGAAGTAAAGGATCAAAAGTAAATAGTATCCTTTTCTGCTGATCACCAAGGACATGCAGTTCTCAGACTCGAGGGTTTATCCTTTAGTTTCTTCAAATGCCTTTGAAAGCAGCATGATACTATCTGCCCAGAAGAGAGCAGCACTGATACCCTGTGAAGGACAACCAAGGTATTATCTATTGCCAGACAGTAGGCTGGTTCATATTATCAGCCACAATATGGAGATCCAATTATCGCTCTGAAAATAAGGAATTATTTCTATTAATCCATTAATATTCTGAGTAGCTTCCTTAACAGGAGTCACAGGAAATTTTTTCACAGGAGCCTTTGTGTGAAAGAGGCATAAATCTGAGTGAACCACACAGTTGTTATGCTTGTGTTAGAGCAACAGAAACTGTATATAATATGTAAGGCTTGCTGACAGTAAAAATGCGCTGTGGTATACACAAGGCGACCCTTGATGCACTGCAGATGTACCCTTAATTAATCACAGAAACAATCTGCTGCTTGGAGGATGTTTGATGGATCTGTTTCAAAAGGAACATAAACCAAAGAGCCTGAGCTTGTCAGGTGACGTTTAACCCTGTTAAAGCCCGCAGCTTCAGGATTCGGGGGAGAAAGCAATATTTTGTCTTACCAAAGCTTCTTTCTTCTCTCCCATGGGACAGCATCGCCTCCTTCTATTCACAGCCCTGCCAAGGATTTTCTATGCGACTTTGACCAAGTCAGTGGGGCAGAACTGTTTGCAGAGCGTGCCTCTGCCTATGCTCCACCTAGGCAACGCTGGCGGGATGTCAAAGCACAAGCTTGGCACAGGCACCGGCCGGCTCTCCCTGGGATGGTTTGTAATCAGGTTCCAGTCCTGCCAGTACCCGAGCGTGTTCGTGACGCCGCACAGTAATTTGAGTGGGACCACCCTCCTGCAGGAGCAGCACAGCATTTCCCCACAAAAAAAAAAAAAAAAAAAAAAAAAGGAATACTGTTTTGCTAAACAATCATGAACATTTACAGCCCTGTGATGGCAGTCAAACCAAGTACAAACCTCTGTATTTTTTCCCTGCCTTTGTAGCCAAACTACTTCCACATTTCTGTGTGGGTGATTGCCTTTGATCCCGCAGAGAGGAGGTAGCTTTCTCGAGGAGTGTGCTGGGAGGGAACAACTGTTGATCTCCCTTGTGAAATCCCATCTGTTGTCTTCAGCAACTCTTACTTGCTGGCTGAACAAGATAATGTTTCTCCGGCAGTAGCTGTAATTTTCCTCGCACTTTGGTGAGTGCAAAGTCCGAACTTGATTCAAAAAGGACAAGAAGGGATGTAATTTCCCTTCTGTTAGGCAGTGTGTTACGAATTAAGTTGCTGGCACTCAGGTAGGGCAGAATCTGTGTGGGTTTTGAGGTTTATTTGACACCTCCAAAGACAAATGTTAGAGGTGGGTTATGAAAACTAGGAAGCCTTTTTGGGTATAATTTTAGGTGTTATAACTCCATGGTTTTTACAACCTGTCATTGATTATTTAAATCATATTTAAATGATTGTTAGCTGATGGTGAAAACTAAGTCAGCAGAAGCTAAGGATGGTAATATTTCAGTGTAACACAGCATTGATTTTAATGAGCTACTTGAGGAAATTAAATGGAAGAAGGGGGGGGACGACTTAAATACTAATACAACCACCTCTTCTTGTTGGTTATGTGGAAATCCCTTCGGTTTAAAGGGCCGCACCTGTGGCCGCTCTCCCTCTTTGTTAGCGAGATATTTCCCTCAATATTTGAGCTTTTCTCCAGAGGTGGCATAAACGTGAAACACACAAATCTAAACCGGGGTCAGGACCGCACCAACACCCCTCCCCTGCCGAGGCGCCCGCCCGGCGAAGCAGACTGTAGCGGAGCGGACATTCGGCGGTGCCTCAGCTGGATGAGGCCACCCCGCCGCCGCCCGGCCCCTGCTGGCATAGGAGGCGGGACCTGGCGGCCGCCCCCGCCCCTCGTAGGGCGCCAGGAGAGTTGAACTGAAGAGCCGCTCCGTATGGGCTTCGGTTGCGGCGCTGCTCGGCCTGAAGAGAGCTCACTCAGCGGCCGAGGCGCCGCGCTCCCCGCGCGGGGGGGCAGGCAGAGGGCAGGCTGCCCATGGAGAGCCGAGAGGACGGGCGGGACTGGGCGTATAGGTAAGGGCTGCTGGCGGCGGTGCTTCAACCCCATAGCGCCGGGCCCGTGTGGCGGGTCGGCTCTGAGGCGGATGCCTGACAGATCTGAGGTCCGGCGTGCCAGACCCTGAGCCTGGGCCGCCGACGGCCGCCTGCCCGCTCCCACCTGCGCTTTCCCGGGCGGGGGGGATCGCGTTTAAAGTTACCGCCTTTTACAACTTCACTGTGAATCAGCGGCACTGGGACTGAGGGAGGGAGCGAGCCGGCAGCAGGAGCGGTGGCTCTCAGCGCTGTGTAGGGATCTCGGTTTGGTTTTTTTTTGTAGTGCCTTAAAATAGCTGTTTGCCCTGCTGGTAACTTGCCGAGTCAGACGAAGGGCTGGGGCTGAGGGGAGCTGTGGTGGTGGAGGATGAACTTGGAGCCGGTTAACGTGGGGGCAGCGAGGTGGGAGCACTTGGGGATGTGAGGAGGCAGTGGCGGCAGGTAACGAACGGCCTGACCCAGCGGGAAATGGCTGAGGGGGCTCCAGGGGGGAGAACAACCGGACAGCGATGCGGCTGCCGAGGTGCGGGCACCGCCGGGCAGTGGTGGTAACCTGCGCTGCCTGGGGGCGCGTTGGGGAAGGTAACTTCCTCACAACCCTACTTCCTGACTCTCTGGTTTCCCTTTCTACCTCAGGAATGGAGTTGAGCGTGAAATTAATCTGCACTTGCTGCCTGTACAGTCGCGGTCATAAGTATGAGATGTATGTTCATGGAGGTGTTAGGATTTTTGAGTGTTTTTATGCTCATTTCCTCAGACAAGCCTGTGTTGGTGATTTCACTGTTTTTTCACATCTATGGCTTTTGTGTCAAACTTGAGGAGCATGTGAATACAAAAGTGACTTTTCTGACAGCTGCTTAGATAATAACAATCTGAGATCTGAATATTTAATTCTTCCTGTTCTGATTCATCCTTTACTACCCGTGACCATCCCATGAGCCAGAATTTGCCCAAGGCTGTATCAGTGCTGCTCCATGGGCAAATTCCATGAGTTAAATGGGCAGTGGTTTTTTGGAAGTTATGCCTTGATGTCTGTCTAGCAATGTTTTTTGTGAATAGACTTCTCTGCTTGTTTGAACTTCTATGAAGCTGATGAGTGTTCTGTACTCAGGTGATTACTGGCAGGTGTAAAACATCCTGGGAAGTTGTCATAAATCTATAGTTTAGCAAGGTGAACTAGCTGTATATCAAGGTAAAACAGAATCAGACTTGCAGTTCTGAAACTCCATCAGTGTCATGCTGCCCAATATACTATAACACTGACATAGTGTTAAAGATAGTAAAATAAGCATTTTTGATACTAAGTATGAAGAAGGTATATTGACACAAAGATTTGTGTTTTGTTTTGTTGTTTTTTTTTATTCCATGCCATATACTTTCCTAAAGATAATTTCAGAAATTACCGCTTTTAAAAACAGGCTTTGTAACCTTTTACACTTGTACTTTTTGTTGTCATTTTTCTGTGCAGAGCAGTGTGGAAAGTGAGTTCAAGCCATGTTTGAGCTGCTGTGCTATACCATCATACTTGTAAACTGTTTGCATGTATTGAGGAAAAAATACCCCCCCGAATTCTGTGTGATCATAATCTGGGTTGGTTTTGCACACAATGGATCCTTTGCTCAAGAATCTCCTTACTTCCAAAAGTAGTGAAATCTGTAAAACTGACTGAACTGTTCATGTTTAAATTCATATAAAGTAGGCTTTTGTTGGGAGGAAATAGTTTTGAGTGCTTTGAAAAATAGCAACTGGAAGTTACTTAAAGCATAATTGCATTTTTGTGGTTTTGTGGTTTTTGTTTTTTTTTTTCCAGCTATAGGTATGTAGAAACATTTTAACAAGAATTCTCTTTTATTTTGTAGGGTTGATCCGTATGGGTTTGAAAGGCCAGAAGACTTTGATTATGCATCCTATGAAGCATTCTTTTCCAGATATCTAGTGGTACTCACTAGAAGAGCAATAAAATGGTCCAAGCTCCTAAAGGGGAATAATGGTATACAGAAGAGTTTAAAAGGTGAGGTGTATGTCTATTTTTAGGTAAAAAAACACATTATGTTGGAACCAATATAAATGGGTTTTGCGTCCTTGAATGTTAAATAGTGTTTTTGTCTTCAAGTGAAAACCGGTAGTATAAACTAATAATACATAGGCAAGTGTGCTGCTCTTAGGGGAATTGCTGATTTGATTTAAAACTTACAAAGGAGTAATCTTTCTTTGGCATATGTTATATCTTACTACTTCTGTAATGCAGAGATCATGACCACTGCACTTCCAAGATGCTGTTTTCTAGCTGTTTGTTTTATTGTTCTCTGCTCTGTCCTCTCTTTAAAGAGACATGAGGTTATGTATGACTGTCTTGAACCCCATGGGACTCTTAGTTGCTGACTCTTTGACAGTTTTTCAGATTGCTGAGATTTTCCAGCTGTCTATATCCTTCTTTTGTAAAATGGTGTAATCCCACAGCTGAGAAGGTATGTACTGAGAACTGGTGCTAAATGCCACATGAAAGTGAAGAAAGTAAAATTTAATGTAGGCACTAATGCAGCATTGGATAAAATGCTGATGTAACTGTTGATGGCAGCTTCCAAAAGCAAGAAAACCTGTAGTAATCTTTTATCTTCAAAGAGGGACAGGGAGAAATAAATAGAGTCAGAAGATGGCAGGGAGTCCCGTGAAGCTAAAGGATGGGGGGGGGTTTCCTCCCACTCTCTCTCTGGGTTATTTTTTCATATAAGTGTTTAAGTTTTCCTCTCTGCCCTTAATGATGCTATTCAGCTTGTATTCCCTTTAGGAGTCTTTTGGAGTTAGAGATCTGTATAAATATGTTAAAGTGAGTAAAACTAAGCAAAAGTTAATCAGGCCTTTGAGTAGAGTATGTAGTGTGTTACATAGCTGAATACTTAGATCTGTGTTTCAGATGCAGACTTTCATTGGTAATTCTGATTGTTTTGTTGGTTTGGGGTAGCTTTTTTTTTTTCTTGGCACCAAGAATGGAATGATAACTACTGAGGTATTATAACAGTGTATTTAGTGTATGGATGTCCATTTTAAGGATGAGGAATCCCAGAGATTGTAGCTTTGAGCTATAGCTGCGAGATCAGATGCTGCAAATCGGAAAGTAGCTACTTCTAATCTCTTTCTTCCAAAGCTTTTGCTTAGGATGTCAAGTTTGAATATAGTGATAATTGTGCAGTTTTTTGAATTAGTGAGGATTTTGAGATTCTGCAAAACTTAGTTTTCTAGTTGTGGAAAAAAAAAGTCAGGTTTTGATTCATCTCCTTTTCTTAAAATGCAAGAATTGTGACAGAGGCAGCTTTTAGCAATTTCTAGGAGTTCATTAAATTTCTCTTCCAGCATTGCAGACACAGAATTCTACTGTGATGCAGACAGCGTGAATGCCTTTGGTCTTATTTGAGAGCCAAAACTTTGACCAAATTCTCAACTTGTCCACCAGATTTCAGCACTGATGATCATGCTGCCCCACTAGCCATGTAATGGCAGTAACCATTAATGTGGTTTTACTTCTAACAGACTATGTGGAAACTAGCATGCCATAAATCCACTGAGTGGCTCTTGGCTGTAGCAAGCCCTTGCAGGCTGGTACATCATCTTTGACATTACAAAATTTTGCTAAGGATAATAAGATTTGTAGACTATGCCTTCTCATATATATATATGTATTTATGTGTGTGTAGTACCTAAGGAGAGTGACTAATATAAATAATGTTGAGGAAATGTGATCTTGAGTATAACTGCAAAGTTGTTACAATAAGCCTCTGACATTATCCTAAACTGATATCACAGAAGAGGAGAGCAACAGATTAATCTGTACAATTGCTGATTTTTAAATACTTCCCTTCTTATATCTGTAAGATGGGAGCTTGTGGCATGTGCACATAGAATTATGTAAGCAGTTGTTTAGGTATGTGCTTCGATTTCATTGCAGGCACTTGGAGACCAGAAGGTCTGCCTGATGATGTGTTGAATTTCACTCCTCCAGAACCTGACTTCATTGCTTTGAAGCTTTGCTTAGTAGCTGCTGGTTCTGATTAACTTCTCCTCTTCTGCAAGTCAGCTATAAGCTAGAACTGCCACTTCCCCCTGAATGCAATAGCTGTACCTGCAAACTCATACTCTTCTTTGGAGTTCTGTTGGGGGCTTTTCAAAGTGCATCCTGTTGTGAGTAGATGTGAGAGGTATTATATATGTGGTATCTCAGTAGCTCCAGACCCCTTTTGTCTTTACACCTAGAGAAGCTCATAATTCCTGTCCCGGTGAACAGGAAGAAGTGATGACTTGTGTTAATTTTCCAGTTTGGAAATGTGTCATGTTCACATGCCTCGCAGCCAGGGTGGTATGCATGTATGCATATAATTCGATTCTACTGTGAAGTAGTTAGACTATATTTTAACAACTGTAATTAAGCAGTGTATCCTGTTGTTCTGGATTACAGCCTTCCAGCAGGGCAGGTCATAGGAATTTTGGCTGGCAGTTCCTTCTTCTTGTTCTGTTTAGTTTTCCCCTCTACCCTTGCTATCTTCACCTTGTTTCCTTTCCACATCTGAATTTTCAGTTGCCGTTTGGTCACTTGCCTCCTCTCTCTCATTTCCCCACTACAGCGATCCTCTTAATTTTTTTTTTCTTCATTCAGCTGCTGTCTTTATGGGACCAAAAAGCAGCTTTCTGCTTTGGCTTGTTTACAACAAATTGACATAGTTGCTCAAAGTAGCATAATTCTGACCAGAAGTCTCTTTTGTAAAAGAATCTGTCTGTAAGTGGATTAACCAGAACTGAACAGTAGCAGAATGTGTTTTCTAGTCTTTGAGTCTGATAAAATACAGTGAAAGGTGAATGGTACTAAATGGTGTTTATAACATAGACACTTCTGTTCCAGCCCATGGGTTGGAGAAAGTAAGGAGCATCTTAGAAAGTCAGTTTTCATATTCGACTATAACTTGAACACTTATGGCCCAGATCTGCTTTTGTTTCTTCTGTGATGTATTCATGAAATAAAACTTTCAATTCCTTGATGGATGCTGGTTTCAGCTCTTCTGTAGAATTTATCCTCTAGGGTCCAAGTTAGTTTCTTCAGCATTCAACAGTAATTGTTGGCAACTGAAAAAGTAGCTGAAAAGTGTGGATTTAAGTAATGGAATTAAGACTGCTTTTGTTTGCTTAAATATTGCTGTTTCCTATTAATGAACAGGCAAAAGTATCACATAAAGATATTTCTTTACTGCATGTGTTTTAAGGCTTAGACTGCCTTGTGTACACTGTGGTTGTTCTGGGAGGGATGCCTCATGTGGATACTTAAGGCTTGCTGGTAATTTAGCAGTGCTGCTTTTAAGATCAAGCCCTTGCTTTACAATTAGTCGGATGTGTGGTTGGAGACACATGCACAATCCGGCTTCATCTGTGAAAGCTTCTTTAATGCTACAATGGGAGGATACTCTGTGGTGTGGACTGTTGCTGCGGGCTTTTTAGTTCCTGAGGATAATGCAGAAGAGGGCCTATAGGAAACAGATACATAGTTGTATAAAACAATACAATTTTGTATATAGAATATGACATTAAATCACAACTGTCCTAATTTTCAAAACTACTCTGCTGCTTCTGTGTGCTAGTTTGCAGATCCTGGCAAGTATGATAATGGTGTGAGGAAGAAAAGCACCATGTAAAGGGCTTTTTCATTCTTCAGGGAGTGGGGGAGCTGGGGTAGGTAGACACTTGGGGCTATACAAGCCTCTGGCTCTCTGTTACCATGAGAACAATGACACTGAGGAATAATGAGTATATGCTGTGCTGCAGGCCTGCTTTCCCCTTGTGCCAGTGTCAAAGGCTTGTCCCTGCTTCTCTTGAGTTTAATGTGTATTGTTGGATGTGGATGCTGGCTATGCTCTCAAAATTTACAGTTGCTTCATAAAAAATACCATTTGAATTATGTGTTAGAATATGATAATACTGTAATTTAGCCAGTAAATTTGCTTCTAGAAACATTTGCAGGCTCATCCAAATGTCTCTTCTTGCAGACCTAAACGGGACTGGTTCCTCATGCTCATTCCTGAATTTGCTATGTCCTTTTATAGATTTCCTGAGCTTTAGAGTTCAAAATACTGTAGAAAAAGATGAGGTGGGGATTATTAGACATCCATGGAAACAAGTAAATTATTTTCAGCCTGTCTACAAGAAGACTGTAGTTACTTTATGGCTAGAACAGTAGAGACTAATCCATGAGTATAAGTCCTCATTGAAATGCTGAACAAAAACTCTACCTTAAATACCAGGTGTTTATTGCAAATGTTAAGGGTAGGAGTGTTTTTTTTTGAGAGAAAGAACCACATTTTTGGTGGGTGGAATGCCCATCAGAGATGCACAGATCGCTCTGTTGACACTGGGAAAGCAGCTTTGGCTCCCAGTGGATAGGCAGCTGAAATTAGGAGGAATGTATTTAGAAGGTGGCTAGCTGAGTTGTTGCAAAACCTAGGTTCATTCTGCTGTTTTTAAGGCCTTTACTTCAGGCAGAGTTGATCTAGAGTTTCAGACCTTTGTGACTGGATAAAATCAGATCGTGTAATGATATTTCATATGTGTCTCTGCGTGTGTGCAGAATAAAAATCCCCACTCTCATGTTGAGTCCTATAGAATTCAGGGAGGAGAAGCAGATACTTCAATTGACACAGTCTCACTCATTTAATAAGAATTGTCTGGTTCCTTTGTGAGTTTCTTTTCTTTGGAAAAAGCAGAAGGATCTCAAACATTTGGGTGTCTTTTTGGGTCGGAAGGGGTAATGCTGATTCAGGATTATGTACCAGTGAGGAGCATTGGCTCCCTGTTAATATTTTTCATGCCATTCCCAGGAGGAAGCTGCTTTGGCTGTCATTAGCTTGATGCTTCCTCCTGCAATCTTGCCATCCTAGTTATTTACACTGAATCATCTGCTTAAAAAACCCCCCACAGCACACCCTGATGATGAATACGATACAGGAGGTAAGAGCTACTTTAGATATGAAAAGACTTCCCCAGTTATTCTGGGAAAAATCATCTGCTGCTCACTCGCATCTCCAGTTCTTCCACAGGCTCATTTAGACAGTAGCCACATACTTCCTATTTGTCAGTTTCTGCCATGATTTCAGTGGTTAGGTGCTAAGCTGAAATCCTGGGCTTACGTTAACAGCTATTTATGCTAGAGCATAACCAAGCAGACAGAAGGGGTTATCATGTCAGAGGCCATTGGTGATGTAGGGAAAGAAAAAGTCAGTACTCATCTAAATAATAAAGGACAAAGATCAAGGAGAAACTTGCTATTTGTATCTCCATCTGGAAAGGTGGGAAGAAGAGGAAAGGATTCCAAATCCTAATGGGGAAATAGATGAGGGAGTTAAGAAAGCCTGGGTCTGAACATCTATATGGGGAGTCTTAGTGGCAAGAACTTAGTAATGAATCTAAAATATACCATGTAGCTGAGAAGGAAATGCATAGGAGAGAAAGCTTAATAATCTTTAGTCAAGAGTTCTTCTATGATATCTGAACTTTCTGTTGCTCATTTCCAAAAGAAAAATGCAGATGGAAATTTTACTTCTTCTTTTTTTTCCAAATCACCAAACTTCTTGTTTTGCAGTGAAGAGATATATCAGGAAAGGCATCCCCAATGAACACCGTGCATTGATCTGGATGATTGTGAGTGGGGCCCAAGCCAACATGGAACAAAACCCTGGGTATTACCACAGCCTGCTTGAAGGAGAGAAGAATGACAAGCTGGTTGAAGCAATCAAAACAGGTTATTGTCTTGATAACACTGTTTATCCTTGTTTATTTGTCCTATGTCCTCAAATGTTAGGGATCAAGTTATGTCATGGAAAACTTACATTTCTGTAGTAGTGGTTTAAGTGCTGAATTATCATATAAATTAGATTAGCCATAAGCTCTTTCCCAGTATAGATCTTTCCAGGTTCATTGTGTGGTCAAAAGCATGAAGGAAGATGAGAAATTTCCTTTGGGAAGGAGCAGAGAAATACTGGAAGACATTACTGTGTCATCTCCTAAGTGACTGAACAGTTATGTACAATGAGACCTGCCTTTGGGTCTGTTTCTCCTTACTCCTGTCCCAGTAGGACACTGGAAGAGCAGCAGGGATGGTTAAAGATGCGGTACAGTGTCTGTACGAGGCAGGTGAAGTAGGCTGGATTTCAGTCTGAGGAAAAAGACTGCTGAGGAAAAGCTGCTGATAGTTAAATGAATTATAAATGGTGTAGAGAGGGTGAATGTTGAGTAATTGTTATTTGATTTTTGTAATATAAGAATCAAGGACACTGAATGAAATTTGCCATGATGCAGGTTTAGTGTATCACTGAATAGTGGCAGTTGTGTTACTGGAGGGTGCTGCTGAGGCCCTAAGTATGAACTGGTTTAAACAGCAATTCGACAAACTGAGGAATAGGGAAATTCACCTGATGCATGAAATACTAAACGCTAAATGTAAATCCCTGAAAGAATGCAAGTGTAGGAGGAGAAATAACCCTCCTTTACTAATCCAGCTTCATATGCACTGTCTGTGAACTTTTGATCAGTGGCCAATGTTGGTGACAGGGTACTGGGGCAACCAGTCTTTAGACTGGCCCACTGGGTGTTTTCAAGAGGCAGTAGGGGAGGACAAGCAAGTAGCACTTTGACGTAACTGATATTTGTCCTGAAACTTTTCAACCTGCTGCAGCAGAGCTTTTGTAGAGAAGCTGATATCAGCTGAATTGCCCAGTTGATGATTCAAGAGGTTGGGCTGTGCTCTGGACAAGCACAATGCTGAGGTTCTTCTGTTAGAATGGCAGGTGCAGTTGTCATCTTTCTCCTCTTCAAAAAGACAGGTAGTTAAAGTTGGTGCTTTATGGACTTTTACTCTAGTTGGATAAACATCTGAACACTTTTTGGTTTATGCCAAGTTTCTTCTCTGCCTTTCCCTGCAACATCAACAGCAGGACTGTGCGCTTTTGGGAGTACACGCCTTAGTAAGGCATTTTGGAGCATAAACTTTGATGCTTCTATAAATATGAAGACTAGCCAGAAATCTTCAAGCTCATATCCTGGTCAGAAGTAGAAACAGTAGAGCTATAACTATGAATAAAGGGGGAGCTACTAAGATGACTTTTCGAAGCCAGCCTGGGAAAGGGCCTGGAGAAGGATCAAACAGTCGGGGTACAATTGCTGGAAGAGGGAGCTGCAAACAATTTCTTTTCCAGTACTACACAATGAGATGAAGGGTGATAGCATGACTGTAGGTGTATTTTCATACAGTTTATTCCAAGAAACAAAAATATTTCTGTGAGGAAGGACAAATAATTGAAGAAGATAAAGAATCATGTGTGAGTTATGAAGGAAATAAAGTCTTGGAAGAGCTACTGCATTGATTGGAAAACTGCAGAAGAGAAAACTAACAAGGGGCAAGTGAGGGAAGGGATAAAGAAGAATAGTCTGAAGGGGTTTTATTGGAAGAGGTGGGGAAGTAAAAAGAGGACCTTTGACTCCAAAATGATAGATGTCCCTTCAGAAAGGAAGAAATAATGTGAATGTACAAGGCACAGAAGGAGCAAAGTACTTAAGGTGAATGGTAACTTTCTGTTTAATAAACTTCATGTTCCTGTTAAGTGTGCAGATTTTATACTGGGCTTTAGCTAAAGGTTGTTTCAGCGTGAATTGTTGTCTGATGTTAATTTTATTCTGCCTGTGGTGTTTTCCCATCACCGTAGTTGTTTTTAATGGTAAACTAAAGAAAAATGTGGAATCTTGCTGCTGTTCACTTTTCCTGTCTGCAGTTGCCAAAATTTTTAGGCAGTTGTGCCGTATTTAGTCCTGTGGTCTAGCTGTAAAGTTAGCCCAGGATAATGTTGCAATTTAAAAACAACAAAACAGCAATCATGCTTGCTTTTTGTTTAGCGTAAGGGGCAGCAGGACAAGGCCAACCAAAGACTTTATTCAAGTCAATTTAAAATATGTGTAAGAGCCAATGTGTCCTGTTTCTTTTGCATGCCCAGAAACTCCAAACAATTTTCATGTGTATTTGGAACTTATTTTCAATATGGGAGTGTCTTTAATGGGATATCATCAGGTTAAAAAGTGCAGGTAGACTGTGTGGTGGAATGGTCTAATCTTGAAGGAAAAATCTGATTAGTAATAGAAATAAAAGTCTTTCAGCTAAATTGATCTGAACAGTGCTTTCACCATATTTGCCCTTTAACTTGCTGATTCTTAACTGTTGGGCTTTATTGCTAATTTTGTGTTATGAGTTTGGTGTGCTTTAGTTTTGTTTGGTCTTTGTTTTTGTTTTTTTACTTAGTAAAGACAAGCGTAGGAGAGAGGAGGCTTCTTACTGTAACCTTAAATGTAAGAGCTTAAAGAATGCAGGTCTCTAAATTCTGATGGAATTTTTCATGGCTTGGTTTTTGTGTGGATTTAGAAGGACATGCATTCCTACTGCACTTTGTTGTTCATGCCCTATTATAGTAAAGTTTGGTAGGACAAATGATGTTGACAGGGTGAAATGTAGCTGTCCTCCTAATGCAAAGGCTATGCACTGGTTACAGAAAGGCTGGGGTGTTAACTGATGTAGCTTCCTTGCATTAAGCCCCACTCAGGCTGGGCCATTGAATTTCATAGTAAGTATGGCTGTCTGCAAGTCCTTTTGCATGCACATGCAGCTAATATCCATGTTTCCACTTTTATTTCATGAGGAGAAGCTCTAGGTGCTGTGAAACTCAGGGTCTGATATTTGTCAGTCAGTCCCTTGATCCCACGCCACACTGTGTGACTGCTGGCATAAAGATCTGATTGTGGATAGTAGTTGCAGGATCTTAGTGAAGTTTATGGGTTGAAAAAGTAAGTCAAACAATAGCCATTGCCACTTCACTAGAGACAATGAATATTTTACCATCAGCACACTAATAAACTTCTCTAAATGGGGTTATACTATTAGCAAAGGTTGTGAATTTTCACATAACTTTAGTGCCCTTAACCTTGCAAGAGCAAGGGAAACAGTAGTGTCAGCTTTTCTGTCTCTGTAAGAGAAGCCGTATCAGGTCATATCCAAACTGCTGCCTCATCTGGTCTATATTCTAGTTGTTTACTAGAACAACTAAAGGAAGAACTGGAGGTGTAAAGTGTGTAGTGATACTTCCTCAGAATGTTTTTCCTAGTCTCCAGTTATCTGTGGTTTGTGGAGTTCCTGACTAAATATGCATATGTTTGTAGTTAATAACACTGGATGGGGAAAAAAAATCATGAAAATCCCTCTGGCAGCTCTTTTGCTCGTAATTTTACAGATTTGTGATGTCTTGTTCATAAGAATCTCCCTCCAGTCTGCCTTGTTTTACATTATATATGGTAGCCATTTCATACCTGTGATCTTTCTTGTTGTTCTCTTTTTCACTTCATCCAATTCTGATATCCCGTTTTGGAGATGAAGGGGAATGGAATTTATGCAGGTGCTTCTCAGATTTATACAGTGGCATTATTGTTCTTTTGTAAGAAATCCAAGCCCTGTTTGCTCTCTTGATTGCTGCAAGCTACTGAAATGTTACTTGGTGCTGGTGGTGAGGGGTGTCAGGCTCAGTTTCCCTGGTTTTAGTTGAAGCAAACTTGACCTTAAGTTAAACAATAAAAAGCCCCAAACCTCTCAAAAAAATTTCTAGTTCCAGGTGTTGCAGGGAAAAGCTTGAAGGTGAGTCTTAAATATCCAGTTATTAAAAATATACTTTCAGTATATTATTTTTCCAAGTTGTAGTTGATGACCTAACCTCATCATTCTGGAGGTTTGCAGTGGAGCTAAAAAATATTACCTGCCTGAAAGCTATTCAGAGCAGACACAAGTTACAGATGTAGCAGTGTCAAAAGAGTGACTGTAAGTGGAGTAGAGGGTGTTGTGTAATTTACTGTCTGGGAGTGGGAAGCCCCTGGATCTGAAGGTAAGAACAGAAAGGATGAGATAGCAAGATGAAGAAGGTCGACTTCTAGGTGTCTGACTTTTGAAGTACTTTCGATATGAAAAGCACAAGACTGATACAAAAGCATTAGTTTTCTGGACTGCACACTTAAATTTCTTAGCTCTAGAAACACCATCAACAATTGTTACATCTATCAAAATAGATGTCTGTTTTATAAACTGGGGCTAATGTGGCTTTCTGCCTATGTTTGTATTACTGAATGAGGGTTAGAGATGCCACAGACCTGTGGAAGGGAAGAAAAAAGCTGATGGTCTTCTCAAGGTTGTTGCACAGAGATAAATCAACAGGAGAGGAAAGCTGTTGGTTTTGTTTCACAGCAGTGTAACACTGCCATCCCACTGTGCTGAAAGATCATCTGAAACATAAAGGCATTAGGATTTATTCTGAATTTACCACAAAGGAGTAGCTAGCTTTTCTCTGTGGTCTTCTTCCTGGTCCCATGCTCCTATACTTAGTTTGGTTATAGTCAGCAGATCTGCACACAATCACAAGATGGTCATAGTTTGGGGATTTATCTAGCAGTATAAAGTTCTAACATTCATTTTCCTGCTTGAAAACAATTCTGAATATTTTTTTCCCCAAAACTGGACTAGTTTGAGGCAATGTTCTTTTGGACACTAATGTCTGTCAAGAATGAAGTAGGTTAATGGCTAGCAGGTCAAGAGAGTGAGCTGCATAGAGTGAGAGAAGGTGTTTGGATATCTCCTCTGGAACAGGGTTATTAAAGTGGGCGTAAGTGCTCAAGTCAAATGAGCAGCTCTCACCTGCTGCTGCGGTTTGCTTCAAGTCATCTCTGGCAGTCATCTCATAGTATAGTAAAACATGAGTTTGTGTGCACTTGAGTGGGTTAACTTCCGTCACACTGTAGTCAGAGGAGCCTCAGAGCTGGAGGAAAGGGGAGAGCATGCAAATGGAACAGAAAGGGAAGGATGGAGAGGAAGTGGGACCCCCTGCTCTTGGTGTACTCAGGGTGGTATTCTGGCACAAGGAATCCTGTGAAACCATGCCCGTATCCTCTATTAAGTGTAAAGACTTTAGCTCTTATATATTTTTTTTGTCCCCATCCCTTCTCCTCAAACTAAAATACTGTTAGTAAGTATAAAGAAAAGTTTTACCTCCTTCATAAAATTGGCAAAGACTTCCTACAATCAGAAAGCAAGTTGGAACAGATTCTCTCAACTTCAGGCCTCCCTCAGGTAGTGAAATTAAAGATAAGTTCGGTTTGAGTAGTCTCTGTTCTGCATATGATGGACTTCTCACACTCCCCCTTCACCCTGTCTGCATAGCTGAAGGGAAGAGCCATAACTGAAATGTCAGCATTGATCTTTTCTGTAACATCCAGCATGTACTTTAATAAACAGCAAATTTTGATTATGCAAATACTGTGCTGCTCTTCGTACCAAGAAGAAACATAACAAATGTATTTATCCTATAATTAGCTGTTGCTCAAGTCCTTTTAAAAATTGGTTTTTTTCCATGTGTTCTTCTTTTCAGTCGCATGAGAGGTGAAGTGAAATATTTCCCTGCCCACCCATTTCTGTTGCTGACTTTTTCACTTTAAAAGGAAGAGCTAGTGATTAATGTGATAGTTTTTTAATACTTGTGACTTCCATTATACTACTTGTGATTTTTGGGGAGCTTTCTTCCTTTGGTTGCTTACAGCTCAACTTGGTGTCAAAGCTGTAACAAACTTCTTCCTTTATGCAGGAAGGGGCTGATAAGACATGATAAGTCTTAGGACATAGGTATCTGCACAGTAGTGCTGTTACTGATTTTATTTATTAGATTTAACACAATTTGTTGTTATTAAATGTAAAGAAAACAACTCTTTGTATTTTATTATTAAGTCTCGAAAAATCATCAAAGTTACTTTTGAATAGGATTTTTCTCCCCAACTTAAACTTCTTAAAATCAAATGCACAAGTCTGTACTGGTGACCTTGGGTTCCCTCTTTACGGGGTGAAGCAGGCAAAAAATCAACTCTGCCTTTTTCTTTCCAACAATTAAAGGGAGTTTTTGGTGACTAGCTCAAACTTGCATATCTGATTTTTAGACCTTTGTAAGGAGACATGAGTCCTACTGTTTATGGTTGGTCTGGAAGAAATGAGTGTTTTGAAATGCTACTGATTGCATAGTCCTTCCTTGGTGCTTGAAGCATGTGGGATATGCTCTGCTGCTTGGATATCAAAAATCACTCTCCTTGTTGGTTATCTTGCACCAATGAAGAAACAACTATTATCATGGTCCCATCACAGAGAAACTTAACAAAAAAAAAAAACACCCCCAGAAAACAAAAACAACTTTCAAAAGGTGATTTTAAGTGGAAGTCACCAGCTGCAAAAACAGGGCTGTTTTTTAACTGCTTGGGACTGTTTGGTAGAAGTTCACTGAATAAGTCAATTGAAAGTTCATCTAGTTTGTTATAAGAGCATGCTTTCCTAGAGACACAGCTCATTTCATGCCACTTGGCTAGATCAATTTGGTATGTGTTGTTTCTGTCAGTCTAAATGTCTGGTTTGCTTTCATTTAAGTCTTTGCAGTCAGGCGTTGAGAGAGTCCAATCTGCAGAAGTTCTCTTTAATCCTGCTTGAAATTGATTTCTGTGCACTAATAGGATTATTTTTTTGAGGAATATTGTCCTTGAATGCAGATGGCCTTTTAGCCAAAATTGAGGTAGAGCTGTTTCTTGAAATTCATCCACCAAAACTAGTTCAGCGAACCATAGTGAAGTGTCAGTTGCACTTCAGAAGAACTATAAAAGTTTGTTTGGAAAGTGGAGGAGGGAACTGCTCTTAATTTTGATCTCTTTCCCTTTCATCTAGACATGAACAGAACATTTCCAGATAATGTAAAATTCCGCAAAACTGCTGATCCCTGTTTGCAGCATGTACTCTACAATGTGTTGGTAGCATATGGGCATCATAATAAAGCAGTAGGATATTGTCAGGTATGTAATGACCATTTTTTAAACAATGCTGCATTTCAGCAGCATTTGTTGTCCATTTGAATGTGTGTTTTTTAGAAGCAAATCCACAAACTATTTCTGTTTTTAGAATGGCCTGGGGAATGCATGGAAATCAGTAGCTTCAGGCAAATTCAAATGTCTTTGTGAGTTTCTCTGTGGCCTTTTTTGTAGCTGGCTTGATCATGTTTGGCTCCATTTATTAGCTGCAAAATAAATGTTTTGTCACACCTGGTTGTATCAAGTGTGTTGGAGAGGAAGATAAAGTGACCTTGCCTTTCCCTCTGTCCTTCCTGCTGTCTTTCCCAGAATGGTCCTTGTTATGGATGAGTCACCACGAGATCTCAATTTCCTTTGTTTTCACTGTCATACTTTTCAAAATACAGACCAGCATTCATGCCATGTCACATAACTGGGGGAGGCTACCATTTATTTGGTGTAATCTCCCATTATAGACAGGCAAATAGGAAGAAAAATTCTTTGAAATTCAACCTGATACTGCATAGTTAGCAGCTCAGAAAAAGCTCCTATCATCACTGCCAAGTGCTGTAAAGTTTCCTATGGGACACAAAGAAGATAAAAGTTGATTCATGACAGTCAAGAAAAATGTGGCCATCTTTAAGGATCATAAAGAAGCAGGAACTGTCATGAGCAAAATGTGTTTTCAATTCACTTAAGTCATCTTCTCTCTCTTCACTGCCCTCACTAGGTATATAAGTGCTAACTATATTAAAGATTAATCATTTTTATTATTCTCAATATTATGTATTAAAATATAATTGTAATATTTAAAGAATAACAGAAGGGGTAGAATTATGATTACTCTTTTACAAGTGTCAGGCTCCTATATAGAGGTAGTTATACCCACAAACATACACAACTTCTAAACCATGTTTGCTTCTACCCAGAACATATGTGCAATTGTTAGTAAAAAGCTTTATTACGTTAACTGCCTAATGGGCTAATCTTTGCATTTTTAACTTGGCATTATGAACAGTGGAGATGAGAGAAGATTATTTAGAAAGCCTTATGTGATATCTTTTCACCTCTTCTCACAGGATGAATGTTATCTTTTCTGGCTAAATAAGTAGAATATAAATGAAGGTCAACATCTGCTTTCATTGTAAATCAAGCAAAGTTTCAGGAAGTCACCTTTTTTGCTATTGAAACAGCAAAAAAAGGGGGGAGGGAGGGGATCCATTTTTCACTCTAAGTGCTTTGCAGAGCTTTTACTGTTTGAAGGCTCTCCAGAGGATGTTTCCATAATGCTACTGTGTTTGTGCTACATTTAAGTCTCCCCTGTGGGAGTCTATTAGGCTGTGCATTGTCATGATGTGCCGATGGTATGATGTTGTATACCCTGGTGTAGGCAGCAAAATTCAGTGCCCTGTGACCATGTACTCCAGAATAGGTTTTTGTGTGTGCCATGTTGAATGCCATTCTCTTGTCACTGTAGATGCAATGATTAAACTGTCAGCATGGAAATAAATAGGTGCCTTCCTAACTAGAAGGCTAAGCACTGTGTAAGCTTGTGGAAGGTCTATCCAGGCCAGTTGTGTAACTGCTGTAGTTATTCAAGGCTTGGAAAGGAAGCATTAGAAAAGATGCAGTGGCCTAATAGTTCCATGTTCTGGGGGTGTTGCAAGGCCGTCTAAGGTGTGACAGGTGAGTCAAGTTTGTTGAATGCAAGAGATGAGATCTCGGTTCAGAGAGGAAGTTGTAGCTTCCAGAGGCTGTGAGAAGTGTTTTTCGTAGCTGTGGTCTGGCTTACAGCCACGATTTGCAGCACTGCAGGATAACCAGAGACAGTGGTAGCGCTGCTGGTGGTGATAGATGTGCTGGAGGACTCCAGCTCAGAGGGAGAGAGAACAACAAGGAGAAGGCCAAAGAATGGGCTGAAACAGAAGAGGGCAATGTAACCAACACCAGCCTTCATAGCCTGTAAATGTTTAAAGATAATTTGCTGTTAGCTTAGAAAGACTTGCGCAGGGGGCTTGCACCTCAGAGGCAGCTGGTGTCTATTGTTGTACTGATGTGCTATGTTGTTATGGGGGTCAGTTTGTTTACTACGGAAAAGAGTACTTAAAGCTTAAGGAAGTGGACTGCTGTGCTGTAAATCCATAATATTTCCATAATTTAGCAGTGTTATGGTGGATACAAGAAAACAAGCACCTGAGACCAAGGCAGTGTGTTTATAGGGAATGTCAGTTGATGATCTGTGTACTCTGTAAGCCACTTCTCCAGTCAGAGTGTGAGTAGCAGTTATGAAAATTGTACAGTTGGATTTTGGCCAATCATGACCTGACTATCTTCACAAATTTTCTGGTAGTTCTTCCAATGCCCCCACCTCCCAGGGCTTACCTTCTTTTGCATATTGAAAGGTAGGACCTGTAGTGGCCAGTTGTTGACTAGCATGAGGAGTGCTGGAGGTATTATGGAAGCAAATTATTTCTATACAGTCATTTGACTTATGCAGCAGCAGCTTGTAAAAGCTGCTGAAGCTGCAGCTTTTTGAGTAAAGAGTGTGTCAGGCATTCTTCATTCTCCTTATAGAATCATAGAATCATAGAATGGTTAGGGTTGGAAAGGACCTTTAGATCATCTAGTTCCAACGCCCCTGCCATGGGCAGGGACACCTCACACTAAACCATATCACGCAAGGCTTCATCCAACCTGGTCTTGAGCACTGCCAGGGACAGAGCATTCACAACCTCCCTTGGCAACCCATTCCAGTGCCTCACCACCCTAACAGGAATTAATTTCCTCCTTATATCCAATCTAAACTTCCCCTGTTTAAGTTTTAACCCGTTACCCCTTGTCCTGTCACTACAGTCCCTAATGAAGAGTCCCTCCCCAGCATCCCTATAGGCCCCCTTCAGATAGTGGAAGGCTGCTATGAGGTGTCCACGTAGCCTTCTCTTCTCCAGGCTGAACAGCCCCAACTTTCTCAGCCTGTCTTCATATAGGAGGTGCTCCAGTCCCCTGATCATCCTCGTGGCTCTTCTCTGGACTTTTTCCAACAGTTCCATGTCCTTTTTATGCTGAGGAAAACCAGAACTGTACACAGTACTCCAGATGAGGTCTCACAAGAGCAGAGCAAAGGGGCAGGATCACCTCCTATGACCTGCTGGTCATGCTCCTTTTGATGCAGCCCAGGATACAGTTGGCCTACTGCAGGTGTGTTGTGCTTGTACTGCACACATCTAATACAGCTGTGTTTTGGTGTTGGTGAAAGCAGTTCTCAGTTACATTGGAACAAGGATTAAAAAAAAAAGGAAGGTATATTATAGAGTACTAAGCTTTTTCTTTTAATTGTCTTCTCCTTGATCTTTGTTAATAATTATTGTTAGCTGTAGTCATGCAGGTTTAACAGCTTACTCAACAAAGATTTTATTCAATGTGCCCCTTTGTAGAAGTGGAGTAATTTAGCCTTTAATCAAAAGAAATAAACTAGAAACTCTTAAATGCATGCATCTTAAAGCCCATCTTTCTATTTCAGGGCATGAACTTCATAGCTGGATACCTGATTCTTATTACAAAGAATGAAGAGGAGTCCTTCTGGTTGCTGGATGCTCTTATTGGAAGGATATTGCCTGGTATGCTAAAAATGTGTATAATGGTATTCATATACTGGAGCTTGGCTTTCATTTTATCTTTGCATTCTTCTCTGGTTTCAAAGGTTTTAGATGTTAAAATGGACTTGCACAGACTGAAGTTTTTCTAGGGTCTTGGAAACAAAGGGGCAGAGGCACAGCACACGGGCAAGATCTTAATCTTGATGCAGTGGTTTATGTGTATGTTAATTTGCTGTCTTGCTTCTCACTGTACTTAAACTTGTTAGGTAGACGTCTTCCTGTATCAGTATGATGCTGGGGAGCAGGACTTGCAAAGGTGTCTGGGGTTTGGCACTTCTGGTTGAAGGAATATGATATGAGAAACAGATGAAGCAGTGATGACAGAGCAGAGTGAAGATGGGAGATGTATGCAGTTTGAGCACTGAAAGCAGGAATTCCCAGTGGCGTGGCAGGACAAGTGAGAGCTTTCTTCAGAGGTATTTGGCAGGATGTTGGTAGTTTCTGCTACACACAGTGGTTTCTGCTGCATCTCCCGCTTCTGAGTGGGGGTATCTTGGGCATACATCATGATTTTGCAACAGAGCAAATAAATGTCTATTCCCTGTCTCTGTCTGTATAGAAAATTCCTGTCAAAGCTCTGTTACAATCAGTGGTGATATAGCCAGGCTGATCACTGAAGTCCAAAGGGAAATTCAGCATGCCTTCACCTACAGCCAGTACCTACATCTGGTCAGTTCAGTAGTTCTGTATGTTCCCTTGCCTGGATCTCTGAGTTTGCAGGAGGTGTTTCCACAATGAATTTTGCCCTATATATAAGCCGAATCTCACTGCACCCATGCGGTAGTTTAAAACCAGAAGCAGACATCGGGCACAGCTATGTTTTACACTCCTGTGAAATACACTTGGGAATACTCTTTCTTGGGATTTAATTATAGAGGGAGATTGGCTTCACTGTGAATTCCCATTAGAGTTGCACAGGACTGACCACAGCTACACCCATAATGTGAAGTCTTACTCAAAATGGAAGACTCATTTTATTTTTTTTTTTTTCTTCTAAAAGGAGTCTTTGAAATTCCCTGTTGCCCCAGTTCCCAGTTTTGCTTTTGAACAGATCTTTATCCCAAATGGTTGGAGGCTGAATTCAATATTACAGTGTCAACTAAGTGCTGGTTAAGCACATCAAAGTTGCTGCTTTCTTTTCTACTTTTTCATGTTCTTGTTTAATATTAAATGAAAAAAAAAGTATATAATTTTTGGTTCCTTATTGAACAGAAAGGAAAGACTTCGAGAAGGAAGGAGAAAGAGCTGAGAGAGTCTTTTCATGCTTTTGAATGACTGTACACTGAATGTATACCGTGTAGGAACTCGGGTCTTCCTTACATATGAGCAGGGTGGTTGGACTTCGTTTTCAGATTGAAAGAGGAGACACAGGCAGGGAGTGATATGGCTTGTATCAGTCTGCAAATATTTGAGATTTTGCAGCCTTGAAGTTTGCTTTCAAGCTATAAAAACAAAGAAATCATCTGTCTGTTGCTTTTGTATAGCCTTGAGAACTAAGTTGTGCGAACAGGTAGGAGACAGGACTGTTGTCTGCCATGTGACATGCTGCTGGCTGACATGGGTGGATGTCTTTCCATTGATGTCACTGTGTGAGGGATAAGGCCCTCAGTAAAAGGCAAGTTTCACTGCAACTTTTGCTCTTAAGCTTTCTGATAGTCTTTTATGTCTTTATTTGGGGTAAAGGAGTAGATTCAGAATTTTTTTGATTCATTGTTCTTGGTAGGGAACTTTAGTTTGTCATAAAACCTTTCGTTCTTGTCTATCCTCCCTCTCACTCTGCTGATATGTAAATGACAAAAGTTGCTCTTATTTTTCCCTCTTAGTTGTTGAATTTATCTTATGGCAGTAGCATTGGTGATGAGAAGAAATTCATAACATGAAGGGTAATTACTATGTATAAAGGAGATGTACATTTACTTAAGTAATAATTGTAGATATATATTTACTACCCTGTTTATACATGTATTTTTACTGCCCTGTAACAAGAGTCCTGTTACAGACTTTGGCGTGGGTTCAGCACATCCAATCAGGCATCTGTTTGAGACACTGAAGTTAGAAACATATGTGCTTACATTCCATTGATAGTCAGTGAGGAAGGGGATACCTGATCAGAATTGCTGACCTGAGTGTGCCCTACCACTCCACAGTCAGTATTAAGAAAGCTTGAGATGTTCCTTCCAGCATGGGTGAGGAGCCAAAGCGAAGTAGTGTAAATCTTTTATGTAGTAAAAAAAACTGTATTGAGGTAATACAAGGCTTTATTGTCAGAAAACTTGTTGCTGATGTTCTTTTTTCTTTTTTTTCCAAAAATTTCTTTAAAGAATATTTTTCCTTTTATTCCCACTACCCTCCTGTATTATGTTTGAATTGTACATTATAAAATTCAGAGCTGGATAAAATAATTGGCATAATTTCAGTGAAATTTTGTCTGTGTACGTGAGAGAATTGGGCAGACTGTATCCCTAAAGAAACTTGCTTAGATAAGTAGTCACTACGCTCTGTTAATAGTACATTTTATTTGAAAGCCCCACAATTACTTGTTGGGGAAGGAGTGAAGCATTTTATATTCCTCACATCTTCAGAAGAAAAAAATGATTGGTTTTTGTTGGATGCTAATAGTCTGATTAGCCAACATTTTTCCATTTTTTCCTTTTGTTGCTGATGCTATTTTAGTAGTTCTTTATTTCATTTTATTTCATCGATGTGCGTTATAATCTACATGTTTTCCCCTTTCATGGCAACAAATATGCCTCCAGGCCATGTCCTCATTTTTGAGTATGTCCTGTTGCTGCCAGTTAAATCTGTTTAGGACAGTTTAGAAATGCCTTCTTTGCCCTCAGCAGTGTCCCTGTGAATGCTTCCTTCCCCCTGCCCACACACATTTAATTACATTAACAATCACTCCAGTAGCTTGATGCTGACAGCATTCTTTTTTTTTTTCTTTTTTTTTTTTTTTTTGGTCAGCAGATGAACCAAACCAGCCACAGATCAATGTCATTGATTGAAAAATGTGTAGGACATGACAGATGGAAGTAGCAGCTTGCTGCTATTAGTGGCAGCTTTCTGGGGAAGTGACAGAGAAGGGCTCCCATATCTGAAGCTCCCCTCCCTGCTTGTACTGGGTTTTAGGTCTGGGTGGAGGAATGTACCATAGGATGTGATGAAAGTGTGACTGCCCCACCACTGACAGAATGGGACTGTATAAGTAGAGGTTTTTCTTGCTGAATTGTTCTGTTACACTGAAATGGAGTTAGCACAGCTGGAACAGAGAGCCAGCAAAAACCAAAACTTGGGTTATTGATATGTGGAGTTGTGTGCATGCCATTTGTCTGGCTGAGCACAGCACTGCTGCTTACATCTGGGTTAGGCCAGAATTATCCTGCTTCTGCTGAAGGCACGCCTGTAGTCTACTGTCAGCAGCTCAACCAGGTATTTGAAGAGATTAGGAGCATATCTCATTTAAACACAGCAAGAGGAAAGAGTATTATTTATTTAACTGAAATTTTGGGTGTTACTGAGATCCTTCATTCCCATGTTCGTTCAAAACAGATGGCTGAAGCAGACAGTATTGCCCACAAGAAGCAGTATGGATTCAGTTCAAGCTCAGAGTAGATGTCTGCAATTTGTATTCAGCATAGCTCTGGTATTTCTGTTACGTTCATCACTGTGGTTCTCGTTCTGAAATTTTTTTTTTGTTCTATTGAGGAAATATTGGGGAGGTTGCTTTAGAAAGCATCAGGTAGATGGGAGCTTTCAACTGTGGGGTACTTTGGTATGTAATGTAAGGAACATATTTGTCATATTTTACATATTTGTGATTAAATGGTGAATTTGAGAGAAGAAAAACTTGACAATTTGGACTGACTTAAGCATGAAAGCATGACAGTTATGCATATATATAGCAGAACAATTCTTCCCCCCCCCCCCCCCCCCCCCCTTCAGTGGTTCTCAGTCTGAAAGCGGCAGTGATTATCAAGCTATACTCTAATTAGTCTACTATGTTATACTGGAGTTATTTAATCTTAATGAAAAACATATATATGTACATATATATACACACACATATATATATGTATGCTATGAGGAATGAAATGAGCTCCTCACTTTGGCTTTGCACCTCTGCAGTTTTAATTCCACAGTTAAACCAGCACAATCCCTTTAACACAGAGACAGGTCTGTCAAAACTATAGGTTCAATACCAAATGTGCAAATTAGTGCTTTCACAACTACAGCCATTAGCTAAAACAACAACAAAAAATAACATTCCTCCAACGTGGCTATTCCAGTAAAATATACAGCAAAGACTAAATAAGCCCTGTGCTGCATACTAAGGCTTACCTACTAATTGTTTTTCACATGTTCAATGGAAGGGTTTCTCTTCCCCCAAATCCACACTTCTGTTTCCACCACTCTACCTACCTTCCTCCCTCGTACGCAGCCAGGGAATGCTACCTTTGAGCAGGCCTAACTGAACTAAGGTTTCATTTGAAACATTTATTTTGCTGTTGGCTTTTGAAAAAGATGAAACTTTGGTTTACTGGGGAGACAGGTAAATACCACTGCTTGCACAGACAGCCAAAGGCTGGAGTCCCATCCAGAGTAGCACCAGAAGGCCTAGTGAAGATACTTCAAGTTCAACATAAGGAAATTATATTAGCGTAAGACTTGCTTGCCAGAAGGAAAGAGACATGCTTGACTTTTTTGGGTGAAGTAAGTTTTCTAGGTCCTTCTTCTAGTGTAAATACAGCTGTATCAAGGAACACTTCTTCAGCATTTTTAAACACTGTGGGTCCTTTTACTGTACTGCTGAAGTTTTCCATGTTTCCTCGCAAAAGTGAGGCTGACAACACGTATATTCTTGTCATATACAGGAAACTTTTGGTTTAGACAAAAAGATAAAATTTTTACTCGACTACCTAAAGCACATCTAGTAAATACTGAGATTGTTCTTTTGTTGATGA